AGGCTGAAGGTGAAAGGTTGGGAAAAATCATACCACTCACATGGCCCTTGGAAGCAAGCAGGAGTGGCCATACTCATATCAAATAAAATCAACTTCAAACCTAAGTTAATCAAAAGGGATAAAGAAGGACACTATATACTGTTAAAAGGAACCATCCACCATCAAGACATAACAATTATCAATTTGTATGCACCAAACAATGGTGCTGCAACGTTCATAAAACAAACTCTCCTCAAGTTCAAGGTTCAAATAGACCACAACACAATAATTATGGGTGACTTCAACACACCGCTCTCGCCATTGGACAGATCCTCTAGACAAAAGCTGAAAAAAGAAACTATAAAACTTAATAACGCAATCAATAACCTAGACTTAACCGACATATATAGAATATATCAACCATCATCAAGGGGATACACATTCTTCTCAGCAGCACATGGATCCTACTCAAAGATAGACCATATATTATGCCATAGGGCGACTCTCAGTAAATATAAAGGTGTGGAGATAATACCATGCACCATATCTGACCATAATGGAATGAAACTGGAAACCAATGACAAAAGAAGGAAGGAAAAGTCCTGCATCACCTGGAAAATGAACAATATGTTACTGAATGATCAATGGGTTACAGAAGACATAAAGGAGGAAATAAAAAAATTCTTAGAGATAAACTACAATACAGACACAACATACTGGAATCTATGGGACACAATGAAAGCAGTTTTAAGAGGGAAATTCATTTCCTGGAGTTCATTCCTCAAAAAAAGAAAAAAACAAATGAAAAAATAAAAAAAATAAATGAACTCACACTACATCTTAAAACCCTAGAAAAGGAAGAACAAAACAACAGCAAATGTAGTAGAAGACAAGAAATAATTAAAATCAGAGCGGAAATCAACAAAATTGAAACAAAAAAAAAACCATTGAAAAAATTGATAAAACTAAAAGTTGGTTCTTTGAAAAAATAAATAAGATCGACAGACCCTTAGCCATGCTAACGAAGAGAAGAAGAGAGAGAACTCAAATTACTAACATACAGGATGAAAAAGGCAATATCACAACAGACACTACAGAAATACAGAAGATAATTAGAAAGTATTTTGAAACCCTATATTCCAATAAAATAGAAGATAGTGAAGATATCGATAAATTTCTTAAGTCATATGATCTGCCCAGATTGAGTCAGGAAGACACACACAATTTAAACAGACCAATAACAAAGGAAGAAATAGAAGAAGCCATCAAAAGACTACCAATGAAGAAAACTCCTGGACCGGATGGGTACACAGCGGAGTTTTACAAAACCTTCAAAGAAGAATTAATACCAATACTTTTCAAGAAATAGAAAAAGAAGGAGCTCTTTCAAATTCATTCTATGAGGCCAACATCACCCTGATCCCGAAACCAGACAAAGACACTTCAAAGAAAGAAAACTACAGACCAATATCTCTAATGAACTTGGATGCAAAAATTCTCAATAAAATCCTGGCAAATCGAATACAAAAGCATATCAAAAAAATAGTGCACCATGATCAAGTAGGATTCATCCCTGGGATGCAAGGATGGTTCAATATACTGAAATCAATAAATACTATTCACCACATCAATAGACTTAAAGACAAGAACCATATGATCATCTTGATAGATGCAGGAAAAAGCATTTGACAAAGTACAGCATCCCTTTATGTTCAAAACACTAGAAAAACTAGGGATAACAGGAACTTACCTCAACATTGTAAAAGCTATATATGCTAAACCTCAGGCTAGCATCATCCTAAATGGAGAAAAACTGAAGGCATTCCCTCTAAAATCTGGAACAAGACAGGGATGCCCTCTATCACCACTTCTATTCAATTTAGTTGTTGAAATACTAGTCAGAGCAATTAGACAGACAAAAGAAATTAAAGGCATAAAAATAGGAAAAGAAGAACTTAAATTATCGCTATTTGCGGATGACATGATAATATATTTAACAGACCCAAAAGGGTCTACAAAGAAACTGCTAGAGTTAATAAATGAATTTGGCAAAGTGGCAGGATATAAAATCAACATGCATAAATCAAAGGCATTCCTGTATATCACCAACAAAACTTCTGAAATGGAAATGAGGAAAACCACTCCATTCACAATATCCTCAAAAAAATAAAATACTTGGGAATCAACCTAACAAAAGAGGTGAAAGATTTATACAATGAAAACTACAGAATCCTAAAGAGAGAGATAGAAGAAGATCTTAGAAGATGGAAAAATGTACCCTGTTCATGGATAGGCAGAACTAACATCATCAAAATGGCGATATTACCCAAAGTTCTTTACAGGTTCAATTCGATGCCAATTAAAATCCCAACGGCATTTCTTGTAGAAATAGATAAAGCAATCATGAAATTCATATGGAAAAACAAAAGACCCAGAATAGCAAAAGCAATTCTAAGCAGGAAGTGTGAATCTGGAGGTATAGCGATACCAGAGTTCAAATTGTACTACAAAGCAATAGTAACAAAAACAGCGTGGTACTGGTACCAAAACAGGCAGGTGGACCAATGGTACAGAATAGAGGACACAGAAACCAATCCACAAAATTAGAACTTTCTTATATTTGATAAAGGGGCTAAAAGCATGCAATGGAGGAAGGATAGCATCTTCAATAAATGGTGTTGGGAAAACTGGAAATCCATATGCAACAAAATGAAGCTGAACCCCTTTCTCTCACCATGCACAAAAGTTAACTCAAAATGGATCAAAGAGCTTGATATCAAATCAGAGACTCTGCGCCTGATAGAAGAAAAAGTTGGCTCCGATCTACATATTGTGGGGTCGGGCTCCAAATTCCTTAATAGGACGCCCATAGCCCAAGAGTTAATAACAAGAATCAACAAATGGGACTTACTTAAACTAAAAAGTTTTTTCTCAGCAAGAGAAACAATAAGAGAGGTAAATAGGGAACCTACATCCTGGGAACAAATCTTTACTCCTCACACTTCAGATAGAGCCCTAATTTCCAGAATATACAAAGAACTCAAAAAATTAAACAATAAGATAACACATAACCCAATCAACAAATGGGCCAAGGACCTGAACAGACACTTCTCAGAGGAGGATATACAATCAATCAATAAGTACATGAAAAAATGTTCACCATCTCTAGCAATCAGAGAAATGCAAATCAAAACCACCCTAAGATACCATCTCACTCCAGTAAGATTGGCAGCCATTATGAAGTCAAACAACAATAAGTGCTGGCGAGGATGTGGGGAAAAGGGTACACTTGTACATTGCTGGTGGGACTGCAAATTGGTGCAGCTAATATGGAAAGCAGTATGGAGATTCCTGGGAAAGCTGGGAATGGAACCACCATTTGACCCAGCTATCGCCCTTCTTGGACTATTCCCTGAGGACCTTAAAAGAGCATACTATAGGGATGCTGCCACATCAATGATCATAGCAGCACAATTCACAATAGCAAGACTGTGGAACCAACCTAGATGCCCTTCAATAGATGAATGGATAAAAAAATGTGGCATTTATACACAATGGAGTATTACGCAGCACTAAAAAATGACAAAATCATGGATTTCGCAGGGAAATGGATGGCATTAGAGCAGATTATGCTAAGTGAAGCTAGCCAATCCTTAAAAAACAAATGCCAAATGTCTTCTTTGATTTAAGGAGAGCAATTAAGAACTGAGCAGGGAGGAAGAGCATGAGGAAAAGATTAACAGTAAACAGAGGTGAGTGGTGGGAGGGAAAGGGAGAGAGAAGGGAAATTGCATAGAAACAAAAGGAAACCCTCAACGTTATACGAAATCACATATAAGAGGTTGTGAGGGGAAAGGGGTGGAAAAAAAAACAAGGGAGAGAACTGAACAACAACAGATTAGGTAGAGAGGGAAGATGGGAGGGGAGGGGAGGGGGGATAGTAGGGGATAGGAAAGGCAGCAGAATACAACAATCACTAATATGGCATTATGTAAAAATGTGAATGTGTAACTGATGTGATTCTGCAATTTGTATTTGGGGTAAAAATGGGAGTTCATAACTCACTTAAATCAAATGTATGAAAGATGATATGTCATGAGTTTTGTAATGTTTTGAACAACCAATAAAAAAATGTAAAAAAAAAAAAAGAAACGCACCTTTGTATTTGCTTTTCTTCCACACCTTACAGGTTGTAAAATTTTGTCTTAGGTTGTATTTTTTGTGAAATCTGGGCTAAGCCAACATCTAAACTTACATATAAGTGTGTGAACTAAACACACATGGAGAGTGAAAATTTGATTAAGGCAAAAAGAGTATTCAAAATTTGGTTTGCTAAGCATGTGCCTAAAGGGGAGAGAGACTTTGAAAAGAAGCTTAGATGTTCCTTCAATGGAGTTGGGGAGATTGCCCCATAAAGAATTCATTGTCTGTTTGCCAACCTAGTACTAGAGAGTTGATCTGAGATCCAGGGAACAGAGAGGGGACTCCCATGAGAGGATGGACCATGAGATGAGGGACTCAATAATGCTCATCCATTAGGTTACTCTTAACAATATAAATAATAACAGCATAATAACCGTAGATCACAGAGGAGCCCTGATTCAAGGCAATATTCTAGGTTCTGGGAATTCAATGATAAAAACAAACAAAAAAATTCTCATGAAGGATAAAGACAGCAAACAAGTGAATAGCCAAACAAAGTAAATAATTAGTTTTTCATGGCATGCAAGTGCTCTACAGGAAATAAAGAGTTGCAATGGAGAATGACAGAGTGAAGTGGAGAGAATCCCCATGGAGATCAGTTAGTGTGGGAAGCACATTCTGCAGAGGTGATATAAGAGAGAGGAGGAGATATAACCATACACTGAGTAGAGAGGGAGAACAAGAACACTCCAAGCAGAAAGAGCAATGGATAGTAGGACTTGAGGTTGGAGAGATGTTTGAAGAAGGGGAGGCAGACCAGGCTCACTACTTCTGTAAAGCACCTACCATGAAATGACACTGTTCTTAGCCTGTAACAGGTACTGTCCCACTATACTTCTCATAACAATGCAAGGAAGTCTCCAATTTTGGATGTGAGGAAACTGAAGCCCAGGGAAGGCAAATGGCTGGCCCAAAGCTGCACAGTTCACATGGTGAGCAGAGGACCTGGAATCCTGATGCAGGTCTCTCATGGTAAGCAGTGGAGTAGGATTTCATTTCCTATCCTGCTGCCACTAGATAGTCTACTGTAGAAAAAGACTTGGGCCAGTTCTCAGGATGTCCTCTAGGCCAGGGCAAAGAGCTTAGACTTTATTCTAAGTGAAATGGGAAGGCATAAAGGGTTTTAAGCTCAGAGAGATATGATCCATTTTATGTTTTTATAAGGTCTCTCTGTAGCTATGTTCTAAATGGATTGAGAAGGCAAGAATTGACCTTAAGGGCAGGACATGGATGAGGACCACATAGGAGGTGATGGTGGTTTATCTTTAACTGACAGGATATCTGTTGAGATTGAGAGAAGGGGAGGACTAGAGGGATATTTTGTAGGTAAAATTGACAGATCTTTAAAGAGCCCTATTTCCTTGGGTGTAAGTGACCTTTATTGGGCCCAGGTCATAGAGGGAGGCAGTGTTGAGGAGAAGAGCACAACTGGCATTTCTGCATGGAGCACCCCAATATGGCCTTAGTCCTGGGAGCACTGAAGATACCAGGACCACTGAAGCCTTGCATATCTTGCAACTATGGCTCCCTGGGCAAGGAAGCTCCCTTCTCCTGCAGGGTACTAGAAGCAGGGTCCATGGGTAGGCACTGTCCTTGACTGGGGTCCTCAGCAGAATGGACTAGCAGGCAACATGGAAAGGTCTGTGAGTGAGAAAACAAAAGAATAACTGAAGTCATCCGTGGTTGTGAGGTATTGATGTGGCCTCATTTGTATTTAAGTAGGTTTATGTAATATACCTATATCTACATCCATTTTGACTCTGGCCAACTGCCCAGGAGGGTTGAAATTTGAACTAAGAGGGGTCATAGAGTCAGAAAAGGTACTAGGCTACCAGTTAGCTGTAGTTTATATTGGACACATAACATAAAATTTCGGTTCTCTCTCTCATGTCATGCAGACTTCATCTTCAGGAGAGAAAAGTGTCCAGTATAAATGTTCCCGTTCTCCAGTCCTTTTCTGAGATGGACCCGATAAATGAGAGGGAGTGGTCTGAGACCTACTGGGTATACATCTCCAGGAGTTACGATTAGGCAGAGAGGCGATTTTCATTTTCTGTGATAACTTCCCACAGTAAGTAGGTGGGAGGGTGCAGTGATTGATGAGCTAAATTAGATGGAAAGTGGCTCAAATCAGATTCTAGGTGATTGCTCCTGCCTCTCGACTCACTGCACTTATTTTCTATTCTGCTCATTTAGCAAATGATCATGGTCTGTCTTGTGACATTTCGTATATTGTTGCTTCATTCTTCACCTTTTTGCATTCTTCTCTCTTCTTTCTCTGGCTACATCAGTTATTCCTTGGGGGCAAAAATGATGTTTCATTTATTTTTGTATTTTTCTTATGCTTTTTACCAAGTAAAGGCACAGTGATTCTGATTGATAGTTGCTGCTTGAGGTGAGACATTTTCTAAAGAATGTTGAATTTCTCTTGCCTTAGAAATGTGAGAAATGGGGGTAAGGACCACACTCAGTATGTTTTAGCTTAAAATATGCAACTTTGGAGTGAATAAATTTGAGATAACTTTATTTAGTCAGCATAACTGAGCCACAAAGATTGTCTAGTTATTTGTGATAGTAAACTTCATCACTCTTAACAGGTTATGAGGTTGAATCATTTAAAATTGCTGAATTTGAGCTACAAATATGGCAGTATCATGTTATTCAATCTAAGAAGATAGATGAGTCAATAATAATTCATGCCTCTGATTCAGTCTGAAATGGAAATGAACTAAAATGGGAGGCAGGCCCTTTTCTTTTTTGTACCAACTTGGAGGAGAGGGACCAGGGAGGCACAGATCCCGAGACAGAGGAGATGATGGCAAGGGCAGGAATCCCTGGATGATCTATGATTCTTGTCATGAGTTAGCACTTCAGTGGTTAGCTTGTCTCTCCTTTAATATCACATAAACAGAAGTCATGATGTGACCCAGAAGGGGCAAGGCATGATCCTTAGGAGTTATGTTACCCATCCTCTCCCAGTTCCCTCTGTCCTGAGAATTGTCAAAGGTAGTCATGGAGGCAGATGAAGCAACTATGCCATTATTTTTTTTAATTATCTTTTTAGATACAATGACAGCAGAGTATATTTTAACATATTTATGCAAACAAATTATCTTATTCTAATTAGAATCTCAGTGTTGTGATTGTACTTGGTGTGGAGATTCATTGTGGTGTATTCATAGGAAAGTTGGATCAAATTTATTCCACTGTCTTTCCTATTCCTCTTCCCCCTTCCTTCCTTTCCTTCCCCTTTGTATAATCTACTGAATTTCTTTTCTCCCCCTCCCCCTGTTGTATGTCAGCATCCACATATCAGAGGAAATACTTAATATTTTTTTGAAGGGGGGTTGGCTTATTTTACTTAGCATAATAGTCTCCAGATTCATCCAGGTGCCAACAAATGTCATAAAATCATTCTTTTTTATGGCTGAGTAATATTCCATTGTGTATATGCACCACATTTTATTCATCCATTTATCTGTAGATGGTACCTAGGTTCATTCCATAGTTTAGCTATTTTGAATTGAGCTTCTATAAGTATTGATGTAGCTGTGTTACTATAGTAAGCTGATTTTAAGTCCTGTGAGTATATATTGAGGGGTTGGCTAACTGGGTCACATGGTGGTTCCATTATAAGTTTTCTGAGGAATCTTCATACTGCTTTCTAGAGTAGTTGCACCAATTTGCAGTCCCACCAACAATGTATGAGTCCTCACCAACATTTTTTATTAGTTGTACTCTTGATAATTGCCATTCTGACTGGAGTGAGATAAAATCTCAGTGTAGTTTTAATTTGCATTTCTCTAATTGCTAGAAATGTTGAACATTTTTTCATACATTTGTTGACCTTTCCTATTTCTTCTTTTGTGAAGTGTTGATTCAATTCGTTTGCTCATTTATTTATTGGGCTATTTTTTTTTTGGTATTAAGTTTTTTGAGTTCTTTATATATGCTGGAGATTAATGCTCTATCTGAGGTGTAGGAGGTAAAAATTTTCTCGCATTTTGTAGGCTCTCTCTTCAGACTCTTGATTGTTTCTTTTTCTGTAAGAATTTGATGCTGTTTTATTTATTGATTCTTGATTTCGCTTCTTGTGTTTTAGGGGTCTCGGTGAGGAATTCAGTTCCTAAGCTGACATGATGGAGATTTTGGTCAACTTTTTCTTCTAGTGGGTGTATGGTTTCTGGTTTAATGCCCGAGTCTTTGATCCACTTTGAGTTGAATTTTGTGCCTGATGAGAGATAGGGGTTAAATTTCATTCTGCTACCTATGAATTTCCAGTTTTCCTAGCACCATTTGTTGAAGAGGCCATCTTTTCTCCAATGTATGTTTGTGGTGCCTTTGTCTCGTTTGAAATAGCTATATTTATGTGGGTTTCTCTAGGTCTTCTATTCTGTTCCATTGTTTTTCATGTCTGTTTTGGGGCCAATTGTATGTTATTTTTGTTACTGTAGTAGTATTACTTAAGTCTAATTTTATAGTTGTATAATTTAAAATTTGAAGCTTCCTGTTTCATTTTGCTCGCTAAGGATTTCTTTGGTTATTCTTGGCCTCTCATTTTTCCAAATGAATTTCAGGATTCCTTTTTCTATTTCTATGAAGACAATTTTTGAAATTTTAATAGAAATTGCATTAAATTTGTATAGCTCTTTTAGTATCATGTTATGCCACCATTTCATGTTTTTTCCCATTTATTTTATATTTTTGTTAGTTGGTTTGTTTCTATTATACTCAATAAAAGAGCCCCACCTACTTTTTCTCCTTAGTAAGCCCTGGAAAGTCAAGTACTTGGGTCTGTCTACTGAAGTGGGAGGATTGGGGAAGATTTGCATTAGCAGTTTTTTGGTTTATTCCTCTGGTTAGCTTAGAGTTTATATTCTAGATTCCCCTAGAGGAACTCAGATTCACCAGCAGGCAACATGGGCAGGTGGGGTTACTTTTTGGCCTTATTTGTAGGGCAAGCAAAGGGGAGGCTGACTTAAGTTGGAGAAAATAGACTGGAAGAAGCAACTTGAGAACAAGGAGAGTTTGTCATTGGAAATAGCCAGAGACGCGAAAAAGAGCAAGTGTAGGAGCTGAATTAATTAGGAGAAAGGAAGATTCCCATGTATTATTTCCATTAGATAGAACAAGAAATATTTTTAAAAGCCTGGATTCTGTCATTATTAAAAGCATGATCAGAGACAGGCTTTCTGGAATCAGAATACTGGAAATGGAGAAAGATGTTTGGCATAATGTGTTTAGAACTGTATACAACCCACAGCCGTGGATCTAAGAAAAATCCAGAGTCTTAGTCTGAATAAAAATAAATGTATATTCATTATAGCACTCTACATCCCTTTTTATTACCTATGGATGGAATTGGTGTGCTTTAGACTCTTCATTCATTCATTCCATAAATGAATCTACCATGTTGTGCACATGATCTCATTTGTTTCTTCTAACAGCGTTCAGAGTCAGGAAAATGCTTGCCTTGTTTGTAGGTGGAGAACATGAACCCCCAGGGGGGTTAAAAAAAAGTCATCTACAGTCACACAGACTGTAAATAAGTGGCAGAGTTCAGATTCCTACTCAAATCTTTCTGATTCTAGAGCCAGTGCTTTTTTTTTTTTTTTTTTTGACTATGTCGTGGTTTGTTTCTCTGTCCTAGAGGCAACTTTCAAAAGACAGCAAGTGAGATACCTGTAAAGAAAAAGGCCAGGGTAGGCTGCCACCTCAGACCTAAGAAGTAGCAATGGGCCCTTACAGAGGATGCCAGTTTGGGTTTCCCTAAAAACAGAAATGCAGGATTTGAGTTGGCATTTTTAACAAGAGCCCTGGATGGTGCAGAATATGAGGCCTCATTTCATAATCAGAATCAACATTTCAACCAGACTCTGGGTGATTTGTAACCATGTTAAAGTTCAAAAAACACTGCCCTAACTGTGCCACGGTTTCTTCTACTTCCTCCATTTGGGGTCTTATAAGATGCT